GTGTGTGTGTGTGTGTGTGTGTGTGTGTGTGTGTGTGTGTGTGTGTGTGTGTGTGTGGAGGGTCCTCGGGTTCACATACCAAACATAGTGAACATTTCTGCAGCTACACATAAACAGACGTACACACACGTGTACACACACATGCACACACATGCACACACGTGTGCTGCACTGAGAGCAGCTTTAACGACAGACAGTTGTTTCTGAGCAGACATGAGGTGTGAGTCAGACTTGGCCCCGCGCAGCTAAACAAACAGGAGGACGGACTTTGCAGCATCACGTTGACGGTGCGCTCAGCTTCTATATTCAGAGTCCAAACACTTCCATGAACGCCGACAGGTCGAGGGACAGAAATAGCATCAGACCGGGTCTGCGTGGAAATCAGATTGCTCGATGTCACTGTTTGCTCTGTTTGCGGTCGTTGGTCCCTCGGAGCCACTAGGTGGCGTGGGTGTGGGTAGTTTTACTAAATGAGTCGGAGCGGCTGCGTGGCCTGCTGGTCCAGCTGTGACTCATGTTCCATTAAAACCTTTCTGTGAATTAAAACCTAAAGTCGACTTCTCTTTGACTGTGGATCGTCAGACGAGGCCTCCAGAGTCGAGCTGGATCCACCGCTGCAGATTCCTTCACTCGCTCCACTCATGTGAACTCTGAGGTCACCGTGTGGCACCATCAAGAGAAGTTATATAATTAATGTCACATAGATCCACTGATAAATCATTAACATCACACAGTGTCAGAGAAACAGGATGTGAAGTTAAACACAGACGAGTTCATCACACAAACTGTGTCTGTTAGAAAACTGTCGGAGACACGAAGCTGAAACTTTCTGATCCACTCAGTTTATTCCTGAAGCTCCTGAGTCTGAACGAGGGGGGGGGGGGGGGTCAGGGCCCAGCGCCAACTGGCCTCTGGAGTGATCAAATATCAGAGGGCAGCAGGTCCGTGTGTGTGTGTGTGTGTGTGTGTGTACACTTCCTGCTTCCTCGTCTATCCGACAAAGTGTTTTCACTCTGGTTCAGTTGGATCCAGACCCAGAACTCTTCTGGTCTGAGGAACCTGAAGTTCTGAAGGTTTGAACCAAACGTTTGAAAAGTCCGTATTTCTCAGGAACCTGAACTGAGTGAAACACCTGAAGTGATTCCAGCGGCCGTCAGGGTTTGTTCTGAATCTCTAGAAGATAAGGAAAGGAGCTTCAATGCTTCCTCACTTATCTCCTTTAGCAGAGGAAACATCGTACCACCCCTCCCCCCCCCCACAGACTCAACAACAACAACATGAAGCCGTTGGGTTTCGTTACAGAGAGGGAGTGAAAGAAAGAGTGGGAGGGAGGAGGGAGGAGGGGGAGGGATTCTCAGAAATAGTAACTGACTGGGACAAGTGCGTCGTCCACCAACGGACAAACAGAGACGAAGTCCAGAGACACTGACCTGGGAACAGCTGCAGGACACAGATAACACCTCATGTACTGAGAAACGTTTGTTTTTTAAATCCAACACTGAATTGAAATCCTCTTCCTCCAGTTTCCTTCGTTAACTTCACGTCTGTTCTAAACTTACAGCTGCACTGAGTTGGGCAGAGAAACCGTTTGCTCACTAACGGGTCAGAACTCATCGTAGGTTTGATCCTCACACTGTAAATCAAGATGGCCGACGTGTCTCCACTTTCTCCCACTATCCACAAGTGAAGCCAAAATATTCCAGATATGAAAGCAGCCATCTTGTGCTGATGATGTCATTTGGAGTCACAACCTGAGGGACGGACTGTAGATACACAGCCTCTCAGCTGTCAATCATGACATCACTGCTTTTACATTAACTCATCACACAGTGAGAGTAGGGCCCCTGATGGGTGAGCCCCCTACAGGTGGGCCCCTACAGGTGAGCCCCTGATGGGTGAGCCCCTTATGGGTGAGCCCC